CTATCACAAGCAGTTCCAAACGTTTATTGAAAATCTTCCTAGAATTAAGTGGATTGCGATTCCGAGTGTTGTATTGTAGAGGCAGAGTGAACAACATCATGGGGGAACAGGAAAGAAATAGCATAGAATCTCCACTAATGATGCCGCTACTTGAATCAACTACACATTTCCAATTTGGTTCGTTTCCTTTGCTGGTCCCCCACCACCACCCCTCTGATAATCAGACAACCTCTCCTCCTTGAAGAATTTGTAAAAGGGTAAAAGTTAAAAGATCAGGAAGACTTGTATTCTTTTTCATTTTGAAAAAAGGCTCCTGACTTTTTTTATTTTTCTCTTTTCGGTTCTTCCTACATCATCCAATTCAAACAGGTCTGCTTTCAAAGAAAACAAGTCAAAATTGTCAAGATCTGTGAAGCATGAAAAATAAATTGCTTTTTCCAACCCCAAGAAACACCAGAAACGCATTAATTTCTATCTGTTTATACAAACCTCTAACCTCTAATCTATGGACTTCACAAAATGTTTATGTATTCTGTATAGTACATGACAGGAGATCAAACCCTATTAAAAAGAACTTGAATTTGTAATGCAACTAATATTTGAACTACTGTTACTTTTTAGTGTGACTAAACACGTATAAAACACACAAGTAACGTGAAACAAATTCTTGAGCCTGCCAGTCTAAAATAAAGCCATCTAAGACACAACTACCATGCTGTTAATGACTGTCCTCTTAGCTGGTGCAAGAGCAGGATTGATAAAAGGAGACCACGAGACAGTAGAAAAAGACAGCCGTGCAAAGTGTGGCCAGATATGAAATATCCTGTCATAAGATTTCTCATTGAACTATAGCAGTGAGAGGGCTTCTAATAGTTCCTTTCTTTTAATGAAATTGAGCCCTCAATCCCCATGCTTGGCTTTCTAAAGCTAACTTAATTCCATGGTTTAACAAGCCCCAATGTAGCTCTTGCTCTTAGTTTTTTTTTAAAAAAGACACGTGTAGTTGTGCAGCTCATGGATAAAGTGGTAGGTAGTCATCAGATTCCTGTTGAGAACCATACATGATGAAAGGAAGAGCAGATGGCTTCAGGAGGGGAAGATTTATTGTGGTAATTTGTAGCAGAATAATACGATTTCCCAAACAAGGTAATAATAACTCATAAAGACAACTAAAAGTTGAGATATTTAATTAGCTGTTACTTAATATGCCAAGAAATCTGACTCAGAAGCCGAAAATATAAACCTGGTGAGCTGATGTTCTTAGGTTCTGGGGCTCTGACCCTATTAAAATCCTTATTCTTATATTGATGTCATTTAGTATAGTTTTAAAAGAATTAAAAAGTGTTAAAAGTATTAAAACCAGTGTGTCTCACCAGCCTGTGTGATCATGAGGTGTTGATGAAATCAGGTTCAGAAAAAAAAAAAAATCATGCATTGTGAATGGAGGTGGGTGTGTGGGGGAGTGCAGAGTGAAGACCCAAAGCCCATCTGTAGGCAATTGGACATCCCCTTATAGAAGGGTCATGGGGAGGAGATAGACCAGCCAGGGTGCAGTATAGCACCATGAAACACACAGCTTTCCTCTAGTTTATTGCTTCCTCCCCCGACCCCCACCCCCATCATTCATGACCCTAATTCTACCTTACAAATTTGGCTAGACCAGAGCATGTACATGGGTAAATATAAGAGCTGGAAACACAGGGAATCCAGGACAGATAACCCCCTGGGGCCCAATATTGAGAGTAGCCATACCAGAAGGGTAAGGAGAAGGTCGGGGGAGAAAGGGAAACAGATCACAATGATCTACATATAACACCCTCCCAGGGGGATGGACAACAGACAAGGGGGTAAAGAGAGACATCGGACAGTGTAAGACATGAAAAAATAATAACATAAATTATCAAGGATTCAAGGGGAGGGAAGGGAAAAAATAAGGAGCTAATACTGAGGGTTCAGGTAGAAAGAAAATGTTTTGGAAATGATGATGGCAACAAATGTACAAATGTGCTCGACACAATGGATGTATGTATGGATTGTGGTAAGAGTTGTATGAGCCCCCAATAAAATGATTTTTAAAAACTAAAAGCAAAAACAGTGCTTCTAACCACCCAGTTTGTTTGTTTGTTTGTAACACAATGACTGAGGCAATTTTGTTAGCATCTGATACATTTAAAAAGATAAGGGAAAAGTGCCTCTGTTTATAAAGTCGAAGTATTAGCATAGACTATTAAATTTTCTCACAACTCAAGGTAATATGGGAGGAAAAGCTGTTTCAAGCTCTAACTCTCTCCAAAACTGGCTGGGTTAGCCCAGACCAGAAGGAAGGAGTTAGTTAGATTAGGGAACCCACAGGGACACTGCTCTGTCAATGAGTCTATTAAATGTCAGCAAATGGTAGAGCCCCATCCTATCAACTTGCCAAAGAGACCACAGCAATGGGCTCACGCTTAGAAACAATTATGAGGATGGCAAAGGACTGGGCAGTACTTCTTTCTGTTGTGCATAAGGTTGCTATAGGACCGATTGGCTAGCACCTAACAATAACTCCCACACAAATACATTCAGATGTTTTTTTAATCGTTTTATTGGGGACTCATACAACTCTTATTACAATACATACATACATCAATTACATCAAGCACATTTGTACATTCGTTGTCCTCATCATTCTCAAAACATTTGCTCTCCACTTAAGCCCTTGGTATCAGCGCATTTTCCCCCTCCCTTGCGCCTCATGAACCCTTGAAAATTTATAAATTATTATTTTGTCATATCTTACACTGTCCAATGTTTCCTTCCACCCACTTTTTGGTTGTCCATCCCCCAGGGAGGAGGTTATATGTAGATCCTGGATCCCCCTTCCTCCCCTACCCTCCATTCACCCTCCTGGTATCACCACTCTCACCACTAGTACTGAAGGAATCATCTGTCCTGGATTTCATGCTTCCAGTTCCTATCTGTACCAGTGTACATCCTCTGGTCCAGCTGGATTTGTAGGGTAGAATTGGGATCATGATGGAGGTGGGGGTGTAAGCATTTAAGAATTAGAGGAAAGTTGTTTTTCTTTTTTTTTTTTTAAATCATTAGGGCCTCATACAACTCATCACAATCCATACGTACAATTGTGTAAAGCACATTTGTACATTCATTGCCTTCATCATTCTCAAAACATTTGCTCTCCACTTAAGTCCCTGGCATCAGGTCCTCATTTTTTCCCCTCCCTCCCTACTCCCCACTCCCTCATGAGCCCTTGATAATTTATAAATTATTATTTTGGCATATCTTGCCCTGTCCGATGTATCCCTTCACCCACTTTTCTGTTGTCCATCCCCCAGAGAGGTCACATGTAGATCCTTGTAATCGGTTCCCCCTTTCCACTCCACCTTCCCTCTACCCTCCCAGTATCGCCACTAACACCACTGGTCCTGAAGGGATCATCCGCCCTAGATTCCCTGTGTTTCCAGTTTCATTGTTGCTCCACTGCACCCTGACTGGCTCGTCTCCTCCCAGCGACCCTTCTGTACGGGGGTGCCACATTACCTACAGATGGGCTTTGGGTCTCCATTCTACACTCCCCCTCATTTACAATATGATTTTTTGTGCTTTGATGCCTGATATCTGATCCCTTTGACACCTCATGGTCACACAGGCTGGTGTGCTTCTTCCATGTG